ATTAACGTGATCCAGCCAGACCAAGGAAGCAAGTTTTCTTGAAAAATAGAGTAAGATTGTTTGAAATCGACCCCGCGATCTGACCTCGGTTGGAATTCGGCCTAGTCCAAACGTCGCGTTTCTGCCTTGCCGACCTCAAATAAATTTGTCCCGGTGTCACAGTGATTTGGGTATCCCTGAGTTTTGGGTACCCCCGTACCCAAATCCCTAGTGTTTTGGGTACCCAAAACACTGAAAGCTTAAAACTGGGGCAAGTGAAATCATCCACAAGTCTGCTCAAAACCCAATTATCTTCTTACTAAGCTTTTTTCTCAATAATGAAAGCGTTATTTTACTTGATGTAAAGACAATATGTCGCTGAAAATAGTCGCAATTTAGAACAGACTGACTGATCCAAGTCCACAGTATAACGACATACAGAACCAGATTCACGTGCCAAAGTTCCTTGTATGAACATGCGCTTGGTGACTATTGATAACCCTTGAAATGCTGTTATTTTAAACAAGAAAGGCACATTCTAAACCTGGTATGGTTCGGCAAATAAATTTAATCAATATGCAAATGAACACACTGAGATACGGCCATCACGCAATATGCACACTGGTCTCAAGCCGTGACTGACCTCTGTGTATGTTAATTGCCTGTCTGAAATAAAATTTGTCGTAGACTTGTTTATTTATCGCTCTTTCCTTGACCATCCGACCTATTAGATGTTGCCGGCAAACATTTCTCTATGCCATTTAACGAGGGTTTCTTTTGGTTTTGGGAAGAAATCCAAAATAAATATAAATAAAGTAGACAAGGCTTAAATCTTTGGACAGGGGGAAATAAGTAAAAGTAGGATACCCAAATCCCTAGTGATTTGGGTATCTCCTTCTGAAGTGTTGGTTTGCAATTATTTAATTCAGGGTAGCCAAATCGACCAAAGATAGAAAGGCAAAGCAAACTTGCAAAGTCAAAAGTCAATCAAGAGAGAAACGGACTAGAAATGCTAAATTGTAGGGGATACCCAAATCCCTAGTGATATGGGTATTCCCTTCTGGAGTGTTTGTTTGTCCTCGTTTCTTTAATTCAGGGTAGCCTAATGAACCGAAGGTTAAAAGGAAAAGAAAACTTACAAAGACGAAATTCATTCAAGGGAGAAAAAAAGACTAGAAATGCTAAATTGTAAGGGGTACCCAAATCCCTAGTGATATGGGTATCCCTTCCTAGAGTCTTTGTTTGTTATCGTTGCTTTAATTTAGGTAGCCAAATCCACCAAAGATTTAAAAGGCAAAGCAAACTTTCAAAGACAAAAGGCGTTGGAGGGAGGGGGGAAAGAAAACAGAAATGCGAACCCTAACCCTAAGCCAGAAATATCCAGCAGAGTTTTCCAAAAACAAAAAGCTAGTTTTGCGAAAATTTTGCAAAAACTTTGAATATTGTAAAAAGAGAAGAAGAAAAAACTTAAAACTTTAATTTAAAACTTGGAAGAACAATTAGCTTGTCGCTTCCCGAAGCACTTGAGATGGGACAGAAAGACAGTTGCTGGCCCAACGGTGAAAATGATCACCCACCATATGACATATGTAACCAGTGAAACACTGCGTCGGTTTAAAAAGTGATTTTATTTCTCCTTCTTGTGAACTCGATTTTGACTATGGGTTTGCCGAGACTCCAATCTGATAGTAAGTACACAACTGTCTCTGTGCTGCAGAGGACACAAAGATTCCATAATATCATTAGTAAAAATGGTTGAAAAAATTACCGTATTCAGGCAATATTATGAAGTGAAACTAGAAATTTCCTATCCTTACCCATAACATGTCACTGAAAATATGGGTATGATCGGTCAACTTA